CGTATCTCACGAACCAGTAAACCGATTCTTATAAAATTTAATCCACATATTCTACACATGAGCTGTAACAAAGTGACGGAGAGTTTTTTCTTATATTTTAATTTTTACTATTTATTTTTAGTCAAAAACAATAAAAAATAGGTCAAATTTACGTTTTTTTTTTGTAATTTGTCCACCATTTTTTTATTTATTAATAAAATTTTTATATAAAACTGTCACTTTGTAGCTGAAGTCATACAGAATATAAAACCATTTTACTTTTATGTTTCAGGTAAGCCATTCTCAARTTCTGATDGAKCTACCAAAGCACTAAAGTTTTAAGGTGTTTTTTTATACTACTGTTTTTGCAATAAAAAATTAATTAAAATGAAAAAATAAAAATTCATTTATATAGTTTAAGAATCAATTTAACAAACCCWACAACTTTTAGATCGATATCTTTTATAGTTTTCTTGGAAAAAATTCGCGAAAATAGCCTTTTTTTTAGGTGCTCAGAGTAGAAGGTCCCCTTAATTTCACGATTTTACTTTATCATACACAATTATTTATATTATCATATGAATGATAAAATTTATTGTAATAATTTTTCTTGTCATTGTCCTAATTATCGACACAGGTAATTTGTGAAATTAATCTTTATATGAAATATAATAAAAATAAATTCAAAGTGATGTGTGTGTCAATTAATAACGTGCATAAATATCAATGTAAAAATTATTTGTATTAATGTATCGTATACACAACACACACACACACACACACACACACACACAGGCACACGATTTTACATGCAGTTGAATAAAATTTTGCAAAATATTTTCACGATGCTTACCCTTTGCTGACTGTGCACTATCAGAGTTCCTTTATTACCGTTAGTTTGACCACTTCTATATGGTGAATCCACATTACCATTTGTCAGATAAGGATCTACAAAAAAAATATCATTTGAGAATGATAAATGATTTTCATAAGTTGATTATTTAATAAGATCTACGTTTTATCGATTCCTAAAAAGCGTCATCTATTTTTTATACTAATGTCAAAAGTCGAATTATCTTTTTTTGTTTTTACGATAACCGATAGAAATGTTTTATTCATTTTCACGTACACTCAATGGTCATTAATTGTTTAATGATACAATTACATGTAGAAATATTTTTATAAGTGAATTATATTGTTTTTTCCCAAAATAAAAGTAAAATGTTGCATTGGTTTCTATAAAAAAAAATTGTCGATACAAATTATTCGTTAGGAATTATTTATAATTTATTTTGTATATTTTTAATTATATTTTTATTATTATTTAATTAAATTAAATATATAATATAACATAACATAAATATAAATAAAATATAAAAGTAAAATAAATATTATTATTTTATTTTTATTATTATATTTATTTATAATTATATTTGTAACAATTTTCTATTAGTGAGAATACATATATATATATTATAATTATTATTTTAATTTATTTATTAATTTATAAATTATTAATTTAATTTATTTTATTTTATAATTTATATTTTTTTATTTTATTAATAAAAAAATAATTTATATTTATTTTTATAATTAATAATATATATATATATATGTTGTACTAAGTAGATTATTTAATATTAAGTTGTAAAATGTTTAACTGTGTGTGTGTGATCTTTTATTTTAATAAAAAAAATTGTTTAGAATTAATTGTTTATAAAAAATTATTAAATAATTATGAAAATATTTGTTTATAATTATTCTTTAAAATAGTGTTCGATCGAAGTTTCTTCGATTTTTAGTTTCGGAGAGATTTTAAATGAAACGTAAACAATGTGTTAAGCTTAATGACCTATTGACCTACATTCAAGTTGTTACACTGACCTGTTTGGTATAGTGTTCTATATAAATTCCTGGAATTCAACGCTAAACTTCTTGCCGATGTAAACAGTTTTTTTTTTTTTTCGTTTACCAGGGAACGTACTTGCGTCAAATGCTTGGTGTGATTATGAATAACAATTTTTAAACAATTTTATCTTTCGAATGGAAATTCGTAGAGAAAATAAAAACAAACATCGTTTTGAGAGAAAAATTGTCCATATTTTTTTTTTTTTTAATCATTGAATTAATTTCAAACGACCATCGGTGTACGTTTTAAAAAAAAAAATCATTTTTATAGAAAACACGCATCGATATTTTTCTTTTATTATTTTGCAAAACATTTCTATGAACTTTGTGGAACTATATAAAAAATAAAATTCGATTTCAACTTGAACTTATGCAAAAAAAAAAAAAAAACAAAAAAAAAACTATGAAAAATGTCTCCAATATTTTCTTACTATATTGAATAAATTATAAAATTGGGATTATACAAAATTCTACTTTAGGTAATCGATTATAAGAATAGATCTAAATTATGATTGGAACCGGGTCTCGCCAAACGGGGAAAAAAAAATTCCAAAATCTTCATGCTAACTACTGTGTGTCTGTGGATTGCGAGAATTCGGAAATGAGGAATCTTATTTTCAATCGTAATATTCAAATCTATAATCAATTTATTGATAAAATATTCGAACACAAAACGTTTCCAATTCCAATTTAATTTTTACTAATGAGATTAACAATTGATCAAAGTTTCTATAAAAAAAAAAAAAAGTGAATGAAAAATCCTCGGAAATTGTAATAGAAAACAATTGTCATTCTTTCAAGACAGTAGGAAGTATATATAAAAAAAAACAAATAGAATAAAAATCGAAGATAAAAGAAATTGAATAATCCAAAAATTGTATTTAAAATTGAAATTTGAAAAGAACGAAAAATAATAAGAAGAAGAAGAAGAAGAGAGGGTATTGGAAGAATTGGGCAGACTAATCGAAAAACCACTAAGGATTCACACATCAAAGTATGCAATACCTTTGAGACAAGCAATCGATAATTACCCCCGTCTGACAGAGTGGTATTGTCGTACAAGATAAGAGTGCTGTTACCATTGTTGTAATTAAGACTATTGCTGCTGACGAGATTGGTCGCTGGATTGTAGGTACGAGTCGGTGACATCGGTTTTATTGTCTCCTTCACTTTGTATGGCTTCGTTCCGATCTGTGGCACCTCAGCACCCTCGATGAAAAGAAACTGCTTATATGTAAACAAACAAACAAACAGAAAAAAAAAAATCATAAAATAAAAAAATTCGCACTCACGCATCGATATAATAAATTTATACTCATATTGAATATGTGTATGTATGTTTATGGACAAAAACTGGGTTATAATTCATAAGTCATAGGTCATAACTCGAATGCAACGGGTTGATTCGAAAAATCGATTACCTCAACGGTGAGGGTGCCAGTGACGTCGTCCTCCTCGTAAGGTCTACCTTGCAAAGGTATAATTTGCCTTTGACTGGGATTTGCAAGAAGTTCTTCGACCCCAACTATTCCAAGTCCCAAGAATTTTTGACTCTTATTTACATGATCGTAAATTTCTAAGAGTACCTCGGTGGTATTGTGACTGACATCACTGGATTCAACAAAATTCTTGTTTACCATCTACATATATATATATATAGATATAGATATCATATTTTCATGTTTAGATTTGAAACTTACAACAAAAATGCTTCGTCCCAAACTGGATTAGTTGTATCCTTTTTGATAGAAGTTTGATGCTTTTGTGGTGGTTCATCTAATTCGACAACGCAATATGGTTCAACCGAGGGATGTTGACCACCAAGTTCTGTAGCTCGTACAACTTTTACAAGCAAACGCTTTTCACCTGGCAAATATTGTTGTTGTTGTTGTTGCTGTTGCTGTTGTTGTTGTTGTTGTTGTTGTTGTTGTTGCAACTGAGTTGCAGAAGTTGCATTACGTGTTTGAAGACGTTGAGGAGATCCCTTGTGTATCATTGAATTTGAACTACTCTGTTAATGAAATGTCAACATACCAACGATTATACGAATGATAAAAGTTAATAATAAATAAACGATTAATCTACATTGCTATTTTAATTAAGCTAATTTGTTGTAAGGTAATAACATCTTTTTGACATGTAATTTTTCCTGTTTTTAATCAGATAAACAACACAGATAGTATTATAGTACTGTTCTAATTACTTCAACAATAATCGCATGCACAGCTCCACTTCATTCGAATCGATAAACACGCTTATCGATGATACACTGTAGTAAAGTAGGTTTTATGATTGGATAGTAAAAGAATAAAGAATTTTTTGTTTTGTTTCTTTTTCTGAACGATAAGCAAAAAAAAATTGATATTTATATATAACGCGTTCATTTTCATACTTCTTATCGTAAGGAACTTTTTATTAAAAAAAACAAAACTAAATTTGATATAAAATTAATGTATGTCAGATACCGAAGGAATAAGTTTAAAAATCAATATCGAAACAATTTTACGCATTCCATCCCAGTTTCTACTCTAACTTTACCCTAACTCACCCTACGTAATTTTTCATTTTGAATAATTTCAATTTTGTAAAACAAATAAAGTCAGATATCGAATTTGCGATCAATATTTAAACAATTTTAACGTTCCATACCTTCCATCCAATTTCTACCCTTCTTTTAAAATTTTAAATAGCAACCCCTGAATAATAATCTGATATCACAGGGGTGGAAGATAAAATTTTATACCCATTGAGTTTTTTTAAACTTCCCCTTTTCAATAATCATGTTGCATAAGTTATATTCTTTTACAAATAATTTTACATCGAATTGAATTTATTTGGAATGAATTGAATTTTGATATTATAATTGTAAATTCATTAATTAACGATTAAAAGTAATTAATATTGCTTACCATACTGTCATAATGAAGTGGTAAAGAGAAACCAGGTTGGGGTGGTGGTTCTCTCCATAATCTTGGACAAGTTGGATATTGTGAAAGATTCAAATGAACATTGGTACCCCTCAAAGCACCAACCACGATTTCCGTCACTACTTCCTGTAGTTGGCTCTCATCCAAATCCTTTTTTATTGTTCCTACCTGTGCCAGGGAAACCTTCACCTGGTACGAAAACATCACAAAACAACTTTTATTCATTTCCTCTCGTGCTACCTTCAATTATAATACAATTATTTGTTCAGTTTTCATTCTTTTTTCTTTTACCTAAAACGAATATGGTAAAATTACATGAGTACTTTACAAAAGAAAATTATTCAAAATTAGAACTAATCGAAACAATCAAAATGATTGATTTGTGTAAATTATATTTGAAAAATGATTCTTCATTTAAATCTTTCATTAAGGTACGAGTATCAAACAAATCGTACATGGGTCGCTAGTAACGAAAGACTTAAGATTTCATAATTTAATAAATGTTCTAACAATTAATTATTTTTAAATTAAATTTATACACTATGTGCTTAGGTAACTAGTAATTTCGATTGATTTTAGTAAAAATTTGGATCCATAAATGAATTAATTGTTGGATAGTTTGGTAGTGTGTTAACAGAAAAAAAAAACAAACCTCTGGCCAGCCGTCGCATTTGAGATCGATGAGAAGTTTTTCGGTGATGCAAACAACGTTGAGTCGTGCACGAAAACGATTAACATTGACACGATAGTGACTAGATTCCAATTTGTCACCTTTTTGACGAAATGCTTTCAACTGCAAGGCAGGTGTTGCCTCGCAGTCGCACGTTATGGTCTATAGAACGAAAAAATTTGTATGAAAACAAAGACACTAAATGAAAAGAAGAAGAAGAAGAAGAAGAAAATAAACGAGAAGAAGACAGATGAAAGAACTTCTTCTTCTATTCGTAAAACAGAATGAATGGAGAGCATTATTTATCAGAATGAACAGTGTGTCTCAGAATTTGTATACTTTTTCTCTAGAGTATGAAAAACCTGAAGAAAAAAATTATTCACGATCTGATAACTTACAATGCATCGACTTAGTAGTCAAATTCTGCATTGGTTTATATCAGAATATAATAATTAATGATAATTATTTATGCAACGAATTGATTACTTACCACGTCGTCTTTGGAATCGCATTCGCAGAAAATATTCGACAGTGTTGGTGGATGTGTTTCAGGAAGTACTCGTACAAATTCGACGCCCACTCCATGCTGTAATATACAATATTGAATTAATTGAGTAATCAATAATGACAACAATAAATGAATAAATAAATGATAAACTTAAAATATTTAATTTTTATTTTTTTTTTTGTTGATCGAGTTAAATATAAACAGTGTCCAAATAATATTAACTTGACCCAATCATATGTCTAGCATCTATGAACAAGAATTTCGAAGTGTCTACAAACGTACTATTAGATAATAACATTATTGTTGAATTTTGGCAAGTAACTAGTATTCGAATTGGCAATAATACATGAAAACTGTTTACAGCATGTAAATTATGGATTCTCATTCTATCTCTCTTCTTAGGAGAACTAAACACTGTTGGCTGACCAAGTAATTGGCTAAGATTTTATATCGAAGTAATTGAAAAAGAGCAAAAAAATAATAACATTCGTGAGATTCGACCTGTTGAATCTACATGAGAAAGAAAAAAAGAGAAAAAATCTACTTTATATCGCATTTCCGTTTGCTCGAAGACCGGACGTTTGCGTAATCTCGACACTGTCGATAATTTCACGTATGTACATTTTACATATGTATAGAGGATAATCTATGAATAAGTTTCTTACATAAAAAGAAATCTATTCACAGATGTTAGAGAGGGCTAATTTCATACTTTAATTCCCATTCATCTGGTCAGCCCATGAGTTCGTTCGGATTTGGGTCAAACGTATGATTCACTTTGGTTCCACCATCTTTCACACTGTGGGTACGTTTTTAATTAAATCAAATCTTGTTCTTTAATTGGACACTCGATCGTACAGTTTTTCATTCACTTTTTTTCTACGTTGAATTAAAGAGAGAAAAAAAAAAAGAAAACCTTAGAAAAAATTTGTACTAACATAAGAACTCCCTGTTACTTCCCAAGATATCGTTTTAAGTGATTGCTGTTTATTTTTAGCCTTTACAAATTTTTCTTCAAAGCAAAATAATGAATATAACTAAGATGAATACATAAAAATCCTTTTAAACGAATTAATGTAAAAATCTATAATATTTCATTTCCATTGTTTCCAAATTTAAGAGAAAAACAATATAAAACAAAAGTTGGTAAGAAAGAAATTAGAAATTGTAATTTGTTAAGTTCATAATTCGTAACGAATTGAGAAAAATGTTTGAGAGAGAAGTCGCGTGAGCGAATTGTTCCTTTTCATCATAAATCATCATGAGTCAGAGTAAAAGTGAGAATGTACGTGTAGTTGGAAACACGCCCGCGATTCCAAATACGAATCCTAGCGTGTTAGGTGGGTTAGATAATGTTTCGTAAGGGGCAAGAGGGTTCGTTGTTAAAGGAACAAAGAGATGCATTCTTTCGTAAGCGATCGAGACGCTTTGGATTCCATTAGGTTGTTCAGAAACGTCGGGGGTCAAGTTTGCCACGTCAACGAGATAATTCAATCGGATAAATTCGATCAGAAGGACAAGTTGTTCGATTTAAAACGCCTTTCACTCGAACCAATTGACTTTCATCTAGTGCGTCAAATTAAGGGCCCCGTATCGAGGATAAGAGGAGAAGTTTCATCTTAGGGATTTAAAATCACTTGGAAATTGAAACGCCTACGCGTACGAATGAAAAGTTCCGTGTTGTCTTATCTAACACCTTCATGGAATCCCATTCAACCATTTATTCCCTTCCAAAGAAATGTCATATTTTCAAAATGGATTTTTCAATAGGAACAAACATTTATGTTTATTCATTATAATTATATAAACGAAACATACGAATAATTGTACCAAATGAAATCATCCAACAGGTTGGAGTCGGTTATTCTTAGATTTTTCGAGCGCCATCTGACACGTTGGGAGTTCGATCATCAGCGAATAAAAAAGAATGCTAAAAAGGAGCACATCTAAGAATGACGAAAGAAATAAAGAAGGAAAGACTGACCTCGTCGACGGAGCCGGCAGTAAAGTCGTTCAAGGAAGCCACCCAAATGGCGAGAAGTTCGTTGAGGATGACAAGGTCCGAGTGCAGCCAGACGATAAGTTCGTTGACCCAACGAACGGCTTCGGCGTCAGCACCGGTCGCCGTAGGTAAATGAAGGGCCCTAGAGCTTCTAGCAGGAGTGATAAGAGCACCGGAAGTCTTCCTCGTCAGTCGTTTCCGGACCGGTGGAGTAGGTGGTACGTAACCAGAGGTCGAGGTCGAGGAAGTTGGAGCAACGGGTGCTAGGGAAATCGTTGACGATGAACCGCTGCCACCTCCCCCGAATGAAGCAGCTGCGTTAGAGGCAGCTAAAACGGCACCACTAATTCCAGTAGGACCGGTCGTAGTCGATGTTTTCGTGGTTGTACCCGATGGAGCACCGACCAATGACGCCGATAATTTATTAGATCTTTCCTGATGTGCGAGAAACTTAGCCCCGGTGGGGGCACCAGCAGCAACACCAGCAGCACTAGCAGTACCACTCGTCACCACAACACTATCACCGTGAAAGACATGGCCGTCTTTCGTACCGTGAGAGCTACCAAGATCGTTTAAAACAAAACGATTGTAGACATACTTGCCGACGCACAATACAACAAGACCAAATAACATCCAACCGAATATCAGCATCGATAATGTATCCATGGTCGTATCACCAGCCGAGTCGAAACTGCATATCAGATCGTCCACCCGCTCGGCCAAGTCGGCCATATTGACCCATCGTTCTGCCAACCAAGTCCAATTGGATTCCAAAAACATTCTTTTCTATTTTCACCCGCGAGCAACGAGCGTCGTTCTCCCCCCCACCAACTAGCTACTAATGTCTATTAATACGCCACGCATATACCCTGGGTATATGCCTCCCTCCTGACGACTGATACAAGCGCTACTCTTCTATTCCACCGTGTGTTACACCACCAATCGTTTCGCGTCTCTTCTTCGATCTTCTGCTTCTTCTTCTTCTTCTTCTTCTTCTTCTTCTTACTTCCGATATTTTCGAGCTTTTCGAGCTTTTAATTAAAACTGTGTCGTATTACCGAACCCCAACGTGGCCCGGCTACCACTCGTGTATCTTGCAGTTGTCTCTTCTCTACCTTCCTTCCTTCCTTCCTTGCTTCTTTCTTTTCACTAACTTACGATCAATTCATTTTTTAAACAAATCCAATCATTCGTCCTTCTTATTTTGTTTTTTAATCCTTTTATTTTCTATTTAATGTTCACAATGGAAAAAGTTAATGAGTACCTCCACAATTGTTTGTTTAGTGTTCTTATTTACGTCAAACGTTCACTGTTATGTTATCTGAAAAACGAAAGAACCGTTAAAACAATTTTATGTTATGCAAAAATACACAATGTCTGTCGAATAATAATACAAAGAGTGTTGTACCACTACTACTACTACTACTACCACCAACTGATAACGTACACGTGGATAAGGTCAGTTATACCATCAATAAACATATTCGAATCTTCTTTTAGATTTTTCATCTAATCGTTATCATACTATCAATGAATCGATGATAAGCTGATCGATTGCCAAACGTTACGATGAACATTGTGATAAAATTGAATGATATATTTTTTTGCTTTCCATTATCCAACATCGATATATTAAAAGTAAGTAAGTACATGTATTTATCGTATATTTTTGTGACTAATAAACCAAACGTATGATACAATACGAACGATAAGACATTCACAAACGAAAAAACATAAAACGAGACCGTGAATCGCGTCGGTGTATGCCATTAACGTATCGCATCGGTGCCAATGCTAATGGTTCGAGTTCGCACGATGCCTATCCTCTTTCTTTCTATTCTATTATTTTCTTTTTTTTTTCTTATGCCCCTCTTGATTCCTATCAAATAAAAACAGCTAACTACGAAATTTCAACTACTGACGAAATGTCAAGTATCACGCGATATACGAATTTCGAACTAGGACCATTACGAATATCATATATGTATATACATTCTTGAATTTAAATTCGTTTTATGATTACGTTCACCATAAATTTGAGAAAAAATATCTTTAAAATGAGAAAAAAAAAAGAGAAGATTTTCGTAATATTTCATTCTTAAGAAACTTTTTTATGCATTCTCACGCGATCTTTCAAGGACGTTAAACGATAATCGTACAAAACGAATCTTGAATAATATTTTTAACAATAATCAATTAAGTTATATATGTGTATGTATGACTCTAGTATCTCGAAAAAGTAAAAATGACAAATTATAATAAAATTTATTTTAGTTTAAATATTTATTTGTTTTTTTTTTTTTTTTTTTAATTACAATTCGATTAAAAAAGAAATATATATAACGTTGATAGTAAAGTTTTCGGTATGAATGTAACTTTTGACCGTAGGATATGATTCAAGGTCGTCACGTGTCTCTAGCAAACGAGATACCCCCCTATCTCATCCTCTTACTTTTACCCTCTTCTACCTCCTCCCTTTAGTTTCACTTTCCCCCAGTTCGTTCCATGATTTCACCATGCGTGTCTAAATCGTTTTGACACGAGAAGTCACCATAATTATTTCCACTCACTCTGTCTCTCTCTCTCTCTTCTTTCTTCTTCTTCTTTTTACACTTGTTTTTTTTTTTATCTTCGTGTTGAAATTGACGTAATTCGTTTTAAATATAAAGATGATTCGAAAAGAAAAAAAAACAAACTAAATTTCGTGGATCAGAGAAAGTGAGACACGTTAGAAGATAAATTCAATGAAAATAAATTTGATCGTATTACAAATGTTTTTTGACATATTTGGCATAAAATTAATATATATATATATACATGTAATTGTTATCGTGTTATCGTAAAAAACGATTAGAATTGTTCAGCTATTATATAAAAAAAAAATTTCTTTTAATTGTAAGTAAAATCGAATTGGAAATGTTTGATCGAGTTTACTTGGTAGGTTCACATCGAGAAACGATAAATGTCAATTATCGGTGGTAATCTTTGACCCTAAGATACGTGTATCACCGTGTGATTTTAATAGTCGTTCGTAAAGAAAGAATGCGTCATTGTGTTATTTAGCATTTATTGTTTCATCTATCTCTCTCTTGATGTCTGTGTATCAATTATCATATTACGTTTTTCAAATACTAGAATAAAAAGAAATAGAGAAATATTATTATATTTTACATATAATATATTATATAAATATTATATAAATATAAAATATTATATAAATTATATATAATTTATTTATTATATTTATTTTATTATATTATAATTAATTTTTTATATATTAATTTATGTTATATAATTTATATATATATATATATATAATATAATATTAATTTAATATTAATAATTAGATACTATTATATAATATTATATAATTTATAATATAAATTAATAAATATAATATTATAAATATAATATTATCTAAATATTATAAATTTAAATAATATAGTAAATATAATTAATAAGTTATATTTTATTATATAAAACTAAAATTATATATATATATAATATCAATACAACGATTATCGTTTGTCTATAATAAAAATTTAAATGAATTTTACAATTTTTATAAAGAATATCAAAAAAATGAAATTTAATTAAAAATAATTAAAAATGATAAATTATTGTCTTCTATTTTAATATCGTTATTACATTTAATATTTGTTCTATCAATGTGAAAAAAAAAAATAAAAATAAAAATAATATAAAATACTGAATAAAATTATTTACTCGTATCAGATGAGAAAAACATATCAATCAACGTTGACATCATCCGGAGCACCGACCTACCTACCCATCACCACCACCACCACCACTACGTCGATCAAATTCATCCAACAAAACGAGACTTTCGTTGTTGATATTATTATTATAGAAAGAGATAGCATAAGAGAGAGAGAGAGAGAGAGAGAGAGAGAGAGAGAGTACACTCGACCAAATTGCAAATTGCTTGTATCCGGACTTGTGTACGTGTTAGTATAAAAGTACACACCACTTAATTCACATTTATAATCTCTACTTTAAATCTCGTTAAAATCCACCAATTAAACAGTCCTGTCAAATGAATGTACAAAAAGGAGAAGAACAAGAAAAAGAAGAAAAAATCTGGGACGTATTTATTTTAAACAAAATTACAAATAATCTTATGATTTGATATTAAATCATCGAAATCCAAAAGTAAATGAAAATAAGTTGAAATCTTGATCGTGCGTAAAATGAAATCGATACGAGTTCAAGAGTAACACGCTAAAGTTCTCGATTCTTTTCTAAATTATCGATTAACCGTAAGTAAGTTAATGGTTTAAATGAGTATTCGTCACGCAAGATATTTAAATGAGTACTTTCGTTTTAACATTCGAAACAACTTTCGGATATCTTGTTTTTTTTTTTTTTTTTTTTTTTTTTTTTTATTATATTTCTATTTTCAAATACGATCATGATAATTTGAAACATTGTGTTATTAAATTGCTTTAATATAAATTCGTGTAAATTTATAAAAAAAAATATATATATAATAAAACATTTTTATATTTAATGTTATTATATTGACAAATTATTTATTATAAATATTATTTTCATTAATTATTTCAATTATAATTATAGATTTATTTGAAATTCTGTTCGTTTAAATCGACACGAATTTATTCGAATCAAATTCATAGAATATTCAATGAAAATTACAAGCCGTAAGATAAATCAATTTTTTTTTTCATATAAAATTCCTTGTTCAATTTTGAAAAGAAAATAGTAGATGAGTTGATGTTAAAATGACAAAGAATTTCTAATCCCACAAGGAAAAGAAAATATGATCGAAAAATCGATCCTATCGAATTGCATCGAAGAGTATCATCAATTGTGTAGTATCGTTTAATGTTGTAATTCTTATCTCGCATGATCGAACATATTGAAAGAACACACGCACGTGTCTATATACTTCTTAAACTTTCCACGATTGCGAACGATAACTCGAAGTCTGACATATTTTTTATTTTTTTTTATTTCAAACATACCAGTCAATTGATGTAATGAGAATCCTTGAGTACATAACGAAGTACGTAAACACGTTGGTGTAAAAAAGAAAAAAAAAAAAAAAAAGAAAAAACAACAGTAAATGCAAATTGTCTTTCAAATTAATTGACGTTTCGATATACGAGACGAATAAAATCGATAACCAATTGCGTTTTGCAAATTTGTGGATAAAATGTTTGTTATTCGATTACTTGAACAATAATACTCGCTAAAGTATAATTACGTCTATTTGATATTCGACACAGGTAGTATAGTTGATTGCGTAGGAGTGGTTTGGTGGTATCAGTGACCCTCGTCATTTGGCGCCACACAGTTCCAAGGTGTCTAGTCTAGGTCTATTGTTTACGATGAATCTCGAGCTTTGAGCATCGAGATGATCTGATATCTTGTTCCGTGAAATTAAATCTTCTTCACCACGTGCCACGTGCTCCAAGAAAATTCCTTTTTATTAATCTCTCGAACCACGTTAATAAATACTTGCTAACACCTTTCGGATATTTAATAATTGAATAAATGAAATAACAGTGAACTCTCTGTATTTATATATATATGTGTGTGTGTAAGTAATATATACCTAAGAACTATCAACATTACCAGTACTTTATACGGGCCAGTGAACTTTACTCCTACACTAAGAATATAGGAATACTATTCTCTTCTTAGTATATGTAATACACATCACCTTTTATTTCTCCTCTCTTGTTTACACTATTATCTATCACGAATAAATCCCAATATTTTCACACTAGTATTTAACACACTAAAATTACATACATATTTCTAATTTCTATAAAAACAAAACTAATCGAGAGAGAAAAACACGTCGTTGTTGGTAAAAAGATGACACACTTTCTAATCACCGTTGTTGATTTATGTTACAAGGGATATTATACTTTCTCTTTCTCTCTTTCTCTCTCTCTCTCTCTCTCTCTCTCTCTCTGTTTGGAAAGTGAATAAATGCGAAAGGAATAGAAAAAGAAAAAGAAGAAGAAAAATCGAAGAAAAATTTACCTCGTTTTAAGAAATATCCAAGGGAATAGACAATCGAATGAAAGAGATAAATATTAGATATTTTTTTTGTTGAAGGTGAAAAAAGAGACACGATAAACGTACGTCCGCGTGACGACGCGGCAGTCCGCGGCGATCTGACTTTCGATTAAAGCGTATGGAACGAAGGAATGGGTTCACCACGCCATCGTAGGGGAACCTTCTACCCCCACCATTGTGTTTTATGTTACCCCCACCGTTAACTGCGGCCCGAAGACCGCACCGTACTGGCAGCAGCGCCTGCACCAACTCTAAACCCCCCTCACCCCCATACCCCTCTTTTTCATCACTCTAACTGCTATTGCCGCAAGTTGCCTTTGCCGATGGTTCCGTGTCCAGACTTCCCCTTTTCTCCTTTACCCCTCTCCACTTACAACCGAACCACCACCTGCAAGGATTCGACTGCAAACCTGAGAAGGACCTATACGAAACTGAACAAGGTCGGAGCAACGTGTTTTACCTGAGGACCACTTATAATCCTCCTATTCTATTCAAACATACTTTTCCTTCTTTTTCTTTTTCTTTTGTTAAGGTATACAGGACCTTATTTTTAAGATATTGAGTTTAGCAGAAAGTTTAAGAAGGTTTTGGATAACATTTGAATTAAGGAAAATGTTTCGTTTCATTTGGATTTGATTTTTTTTTTTTTTTTGTTATTATTTTTATCATCTTTACTTTCCATTTCGTGTAAAGTAACGGGATTGCACGTTGTGTATCAGAACGTTTGCGTGTAAAATAAAGCATCCATTGTACAACTAGAAAGAGTTTTATTTTTTTTTATTTCGACAGAAGGCGCCATCAAGTCGGAACTCATCAATTTTCCTAGCAAAAGGGTAGTAGAAATCGTAAAACTACTACTACTACTACTACTAAGATCGGGATCATAGTAACTAGTTCTGTGTGTGTGAAAAATTACCATAACTACCCCCCAATTTCGTTATTTTGTTGTACACTGGATCGATGCTGACTCTCACGTTACGTTTTTATATTTTCCATTCCTCCCCTTCTCCCTCCCACCCTTGCTCTAAAAAGAACTATTTTTATTGATAACTTCCATGACTTGTTGTGTGTATTATAAACAACAACAATAACAAAGTTAATACAATGAATAAGAAGGGTAAAAGGAAAAAAATAAGTGGAACGTAGAAATTGCGGAAATGGTTCGATTTAAAAGTAAATCCTCTCTCTTTCTCTTTCTCTCTCTCTCTGATGATGCATGGTGGTTGTGTGTTGCGACTATAGAAAAGCAGCAGCAGCAGCAGCAGCAGCAACAGCAGCAACAGCAGCAGCGGCGCCAGTGTCGTCGTCGTCGTCGTAGTCGTAGTCGTCGTAGTTCGTCGTCATCTAAAACAACCCTCGGGAAAACGCGTGCCCGCAAGCCCCGATGAGATATCGATCCAATGCGCACCCATTCTCAAATCCCACCCCTTCTGCCATTCCTTTTCTCGCAACAATCTTGATTCTTCCGAATTTTATCATCCCTATTTTTTTTCTCTCTCTCTCTCTTTCTCTTTTGAAATTTATTACGAATGTAAGAATTCTGACAATTTCTTCCGCACCCATTCCTATGGATTAATCTTATCTTTCTTCGATAATAAAAAAAGAAAAAAAATATCTTATCTATAACCGGTATTTTTAAAATGTGATTTTATGCTAGACGCTGTACATTTGCACAAATATATCGATGACTCAAAATTGTATTCGTGTCTACCATTCATTCTTTTTATAGTAAATTAAAAAGAGATGAAGAAACAACATTACGCAAATGTCTCTCTCTCTCTCTCTCTCTCTCTCTCTTTTTCATTCTATGATATGTTGTAAATCGATCGTGCGTACGATACGATGAAATAATTCACGAATATATTTTACATATCTTGCCAACTCGAGAAAAACAGTAGTTTACTCTCTACTGTATATTTCTTTTTTTTTTTTTAAATAATAAAATAAAAGAGAGAGAGAATTAAAGTAAAACATATATATTTTTGTTTCTCACGCGTATCAATGAACAAATTGTTCGAAATTATTTTTTTTCTTTTTTTTTTAATTCTCTTTCAAATGATTATAAAGTGTTCATCGATTGTTTAATTTAAAAATTGCTGACATAAATAATTTGACACTTGTAATTGACCATTATTAAGTTGTGTTATTTATTTACTTTTAATTTTTTCTTTTTCAATCTTTACGATCGTATTATAGATGATCCTGTATGTGTGTATGTGAAAAACGATGACGTCACTTGACCTTAACGTATCACGATCCTGTTCCAATAAACGTGCAATGTATATATATACATCTTCCTTTTATTTTACATGGATTCTATTAGTAAGATTGCAACGTCACAGCGATTCTGCGCTGTAGAAAAAAAAAAAAATAGGAAAAAAAACCTGACAATACGAGATGGAGGAGAAAGAGGAAAATGAATATTGTGTCATAACCTCGTTCTTCTTATATCATCGTAAGATCTGTGGGTGAAGAAAGGAAGGTGGATGGTGACGTCATCAATGTAATGCTCGCTTCTACTTTGAAGTCGACGATCCCAACATGGGATCAAACTGATTACGTATTTCAATTATTATTAGATATTACTCTTTCTATTCTAAACTTGTAAATAATTTCAATTATTTATTATTGTTTACAAATTTATATCTATAATTATTATTTTTAATTAAAATATTTATTTCACGTTAACCGAATGTTAAAGAAATTATTTAAAAGCAATTTCTTTTTTTTTTTTACACGAAGTATAATTTGCAATATTTAAACGTAAATTTAAACTAAATATTTAATTACTAAATATACTAATTAATAATAATTAGTAATTAATAATTTTAATTAAAACTAATATTTTTATTTTTTTTATTTAATATATTAATTAGAAATATAATATTTAATAACTAAATATTGCAATATTTAAACTAAAACTGCATTGTCAATGATATATATATATATAAATAAGATTCATGGTAAACGTGATAAATAAAACATGATAAAATGATCTCATAATCGATGACTATTGTTTTAAATAATTGTTACGTTCACACGTCGTAAAAGAATAATTTTTCTAAAATGTCGAGAGAGGAGAACAATTTATAACAGTTCATAGAAAATATCTAATATATATCTAAATATATATTTAAACTATTATAGAATTATTGTATAACTGTTACCACATTATCGATTATTCATGAGGAATGTTATACCAATTAAAAATATGATGTCATAATCGATGGTTATTGTTTACTTGATTAATTTTACGTTTACCAAATATAAGAAAATTATTTTTTTGTTTAAATTTGTCCAATCAAAAGTATCTGTGTAAATAATTGTAATTGAAAGAAAATTTGTTCTAAGAAATATTGAAACTTGCGTTATTGTATAATTCGTCTTACTTGTTTTAAAGTTGTATATATATATAAACGTAAATAGCATTCATGGGAAAGGTGATAACGAATAAGAAAATGATGTCATAATCGATAGCAATGTCATGCCTATTTAAAGCTTACTTCTGCGACAGTTATTTTATACTACTTCCTTTCGTATTATTATACACTAGCATAGAGTTGAGATCTTCATAATTAAACCGAACTATAATGTAATAAATAAATGAATAAAAAGTTAAAGATAGCTTTAACATCTTCTATTGGAACGAACTTTACTCGAGTAAGTATAAAATGGTATAAGGATTTATACTAGTTGAAAGATAATGTAAAACAGTGAACGTCAAGAAAACGAAGTGTCCTACTTGAGCGACCTGGAAGGTCACAAATCTCTAACTCAGTGGTTCTCAAGATTTGTTTTAAAAAATATCTCAAGGATACATACTACAAAGGTTGGATCCTTAAAATACATAATTTAAGTAACAATTAAATAATATCTTACTAAACAAAACAAAAATTATAAAATTCTAACCCAATGGTTCTTCAAAATATTCTTTGCAAATATCCTCAGGTGACCCCCAAACAAAATTTAGGATCTTTAAATGGAAAATTGAAATAAACTTAAATAATATCTTACTAAACCAAACAAAAATGTAAAACCCCTAGGCCCAATGGTTCTTCAAAATATTCTTTGCAAATATCCTCAGGTGACCCCCAAACAAAAATTTAAGATCTTTCAATAGAAAATTAAAGTCAAATTAAATAGTAATGTATTTAAAAAATGTAAAATCCTAGCTTAAGTGGTTCTTAAAATATTTTTAAAACATATTCTCTCAGGGTCACTCAAAAAATTTTAAATCTTTAAATAGAAGATTGAAGTGAAATTAAATATAACATCGCACCAAAAAAAAAAAGAAAAAAGAAATGTAAAATTTAGCTCACTCATCAGTTGATCTCAAAATATTCTTTTTTAAGCACATCCCAAGGATCTACAAACACGCGTGCAACATTTAAAATCATAAAAATTAAATAACGTATCACACACACACACACACACACACCAACAACAACAAAATATGATTAAAGAAACGTGTGTACAGCGTATACTTTTTATTATTTTTGTCATTCATTTACATACAAATATTTTCAAGATACGTCTTAAGAAACGAAGTAGTCGCCGATTAATCAGTGCTCGCTTTAAATTCGCGCCATTACTTGCTTTGTTTGTTTATTTATTTATTTATTTATTTATTTATTTATTTAATTATCTTCTTCGTTTTTGTTCGATTTATTTATTTTTTTACTCTCTCTCTCTCTCTCTCTTCCTCTAATCCCATTTTCGTCCAACACGATTCACAAATGCACAATATGTGTGTGTGTGTATGTGTGTATGTGTCGAATACAAATATGTTCGTCTTCCGTATATAAAACTCAAACTTTGTTCACACCCCTCTACCCCTCTCATTACCCTACACACAATCATTTTTTCTTAAATATGTATTTATCTTTTAT